TTTAGGGTTTAGGGTTTCAGGCCTCTATCCAAGACCCTAGCACCCCAAACCCTTCGACACCCTGAGAACCTTGAAAAATGTCCGAACCCGATCATAGAATCCTATGTAGCCCTTGAAGGATCCCTTAAAGGAAAAGAACCGGTCAGAGTCGCATCGAACAGGGAGCCGACGGAGATGGCGTCCGTGGCCCAGAGCAAGACCATCAAAAGGTAGACAGAGGAAGCCTAGCAATGGAAAGGGTGCTCCTTTAACTTAAAGCATCTGTAGGGCAAATACATGGAATGGAAAATCATAGGGTAAGGCGTTCAGATATGTAAGGTTCGCAGACTGAAACAAAGCGCATGCATAAGGGTTCCCTAAAGCACTTTGAGGCTTAGGCCTAAGGTTTCGGATTTTGGGGTTTAGGGTTTCAGGCTCACGGATCTTCAAGCTTTGGGGATTCTAGGGGTTAGTTATTTCAGGGTGTATGGCTTGACGAGAAAACGGTCCCTCCGTTGTGGGTCAGGAGGGATTCGGAAATCCTAAACTTCAAACCTCGGTTTAGGGTTTAGGGTTTAGGGTTTAGGGTTAAGGGTTTAGGGTTTAGGGTTCAGGGTTTAGGGTTTAGGGTCAAAACTTAGTACCTCAAACCGGCCCTAAACACAGTCCGACTCTGCAGAAACACAACACCCTATAAGTTTCTAGCCCCTAGAACCCCAAACCCTGGGATTTGATAGAAGAAGTGTCATCCGTACAAATACACCCTAAACCCTAAACCCCCAAACCCTAAACCTCTAAACACCTAAACCATAAACCTAAAGGCCAAGGGGCAGCGATTGGACGCCCCGCATCGCTGGCAGTCGCCGGCGCAGATGCTGCAACATCCATCGGCTGGGGAATCAACTAAACCCTGAGCGCCCAAAGCCGTAAGAAACATGGTGCCCCTAGGCCTAGACTTTCACTACGCGTGCTGCTTTGCTCTCTCGAAAAACCTAGTGACGCCCTGATGGTGATGCTGGAACTAGAACTTTCTTGGATCGTTTCGTATGGAAACAAGCTAAATTGATCAAAAGACAATAGTTACAACTGGCGTCTCTGGAAAGTCCGTGTTATGGTAATCTTACGAACCCATCTAGGAACCTCCTGTTAAGGCCTGAGGGTCTAAGCAGCGAGCGATTCTAGGGCTCAGGGGTTTGTGAGTTAAGGTTTTAGGCTCGAGGTTGGGACTTAGCAAGTTTGAGGTGTCTTTGAGGTCCAAGGGCAGCAACCCAACCACACCGTTGCCTATCATACCTATAAGTTTCCATTGTCGTTCCTTTTTGGGGTTACTTGATAGGATCCTAATTAGAAAGCTGGTTAAACAAAAAATGAACCACAAGGGAGACTGTGTTCTAAACCCTAAACCCTAAACCCCTGAACCCTGAACCCTGAACCCTAAACCCTGAACCCTAACCCCTAAACCTCCAAATCCCTAAACCCTAAACCCTAAACCCTGTAGGATGAATCGGACTATGGGCTTCAGACTGAGGGGCCGGTAGAAGCGAGTTTCGGGTTCAGGGCCTCAGCGTTTGCGGTTTGGGGCGGTCGGGGTTCAAGCTTAGGGGTGTGGTGAAACTTTGGGGTTTAGGGGTTTAGGGACTTCGGGCTTATAGGGTGTAGGTGTAGGGGTTATCTGTAAAACCGAGAAGTCTTTTTGCCGCACGCCTACCACACTTGGTAGTTCCTACTGCTTGCGGAAACTCTCTCACAGCTTCGCAGCGGCGCTGTCGATTTCTCTGAAGTGCGTGTAGAAGGCCTGCTTACAATTGTTCGTCGCAGCTGTTGGAAGGCCATCTGGGGTTCAATGTTCAGGAAACATGCCCTCAACACTAATGCACTCTAAAGCTTTGCTGTGGAAACGGTCAGGTCAGGAGACAAGTTTCAGGTTTTGTATAGCAATTCCGAAAGTAAGCATGAGTCACTAAAAGGCCGCTAAGCCCTAAACCCTAAACCCTAAACCCTAAACCCTATGAGTCACTAAAAGGCCGCTAAGCATTGAGGACGTAGTCAAGGCTACGTCCCAATGGAGCGCGGGTTCGCACCCACAGGAACCGACTTAGGACGTGGGACCCTAAGGGTCCATGTACTCATACAGTATATACATTGGCCTTAATGTAGTCCCTATATAGGTACTTTAAGGCACATGTGCATGCTATATGAGCACATGGACCCTTAGGGGGAATTTAGGGTTTGGGGTTTAGGGCTTTGGGTTTATGGGGGGTTTACGTCTTAGGATTTTAGGGCGTAGGGTTGTGACATCCCCCACCCCTCCCCTACCCCAGCAGAACAGACGTTGATCACACGATTTAGAAAAACCGACAAGGCAATAACATCCGCTAAACTCTAGAGATAGACTGCTACTGTAGGGGCCCAAATAATTACCAATGCTATTTTGGGGGCTCCTCACTATAGTTGTACATAGTATACTGGGCCCCAAAACCCGATTCTAATTATTAAGCCCCCTATACTAAACCCTTGAAGAAGCCCCATCGGAAAAAAGTGACATCTCTTGGAACCTGCATCGCAAATGAGCGTGCCATGCCCTAATCTCCGAAACCCCACAACATGTTGTACAGCATCTCACGAAAAACAGCCCACCACAAAACCTAAACCTCTGTAAGCCCCCCCCCCATAAAAATTGTCTTCATAAAACCTCCAAGCTCTAGAACACCTCAGCACAATGATAAAACCCTATACCCTTCCAAACCCAGTAAGTCACAACATGCTGGCACCTTGCAAAGGTCGAGCCTCAAACAGCGCACCCCGCGGAATAACTTAGGGCTTTAGATTTAGGGGTTGCTACAAATATTGCAAGAGGTTGTTGTAAAGGTGTCCTTTCGGTGTTTTAGGGTTGCTATAGAAGGACCACTGAGGTTCTATGGGGCTTTGTAGTAAGGTTTAGGGAGAGTCCGGGTATTGGACTCTGCAGGGGTTAAGGGGTTAGGGTTTAGGGTTTAGGGTTTAGGGGTTAGGATTAGTAAGGATGCAGGGTTCGGGGTTTAGCATCTCAGGGTCCGAACTTTTAGGTGATGTAGGGGCCGGTAGAGTGAAATTTCATGCTACCGGTTGTTCTAAAAAAGGGTCTGCATGTGAATTCGGAGCCTTCTTTACAGGGTTTGAGGGCTCGTGAAAAGCAGCATTTCAGGAAACCTAAACCCCAAAACCCTAGACCCTAAACCCTACAAGCCCATGATCCACAGTTCAGCATGGAACTCGCTGGCTTCCATGGGGGCTGTAACCCTTCGCGAGGATGTCGGCACTTGTTCGCTGATTTACAGACGTGCCAGCTAGACGGAATTAGGATCTACTGTAGTATACTGTAGTAATATATCTCATAATATGCGATGTTTATAATGTACTCTATAACATTCCACACTAGGATCTACGCGTCCAGGAGTTTCGGATCTGAACTGCCGGTATGGAGGGTAAGCTGTCAGTTTGTGGGTGTGTCAAGGCGACCACTTGACTCAGGAATGGTTCTTGCTAGGTTCCCCAGTAGCCCCTTAATTAATAATAAGGGTAGCCTTTTTCCTACTATTTGGTGTTAATTAAGGGAACCCAAAAAGAAAAAGGGCAAAAGGGTACTACTGGAGAACCTAGCTAGCCTTCATCCGTCTGGTGCTTAGTAGGGAATGGGGGAATGGGTTATAGGGATTTCTATAAGGGACCTTGAAGGACTATCATAGGGATCCATTCCCCCATTCCCTACAAAGCACCAATCAGTCATTGAGGCACCTATTTAATTGTTGAAGACTTGGGATTTCCGTGGTCCGTGGTGGTAGGCAAGTTTGACTTCGGAGGATTGACAGCTTTGAAGTAATTGCTAGCATTCTTAGCGCTACGATGTTCTATCCGTGTGAGCTGAACAACTCCGTTCTCTGGCCGACGATGGAATGGATGGAGAAATCATCTCTCGCAAATAACGCAACTAATTTGATCTGAAGCTGTTGTGGAACTGAGGTCTATTGCAGTATGGCGATTCAAAGGGCTTATATACTGGAGCAAAGCTATGTCTGGGGCGGAAGAGCTCTTCAAGATTTCTGCATGGTTGTGGAGTTGCTAATCCGGGTTCCAACGTGCAAACCACCACAGTCATTGCTACACCAGCTGTCAAATCTCAACTTCTATTAAGGTCTACCCATAGGCCCCATAGTAGTTCCTTTTTGGGGATTCCCGAATAGGATCCTAAATATAAGTCACAAAAAGGAACTACTATGGTGCCTATGGGTAATGACTGTTTGCTTCTGGCCTGGGGAGGCGAAGCGAAGAGGCACCGTTCGTGTCTTGTTTAGCGGCATCGTCCGTAAAGCATGGCTTCTTCAACGCCTTATGCTGCTGTAGCCAAGACACTGCCTCGTCCCAGGCCTCTTGGAGCGCTGGGTTCGAGAAATCGTTGGGTCGTGCTAAAAACGCCTGTGTCTTCATTCCGGTCTGGCATTGAGCACGCCAGCACTGATTCTGGACATCCCACGTTACACCCTTCTCCGGGCCACGCTTCTCAAAGCGTCTTAGGTCTGAGAGCTTCCTCACCTCACTGGCCCAAAACCCACGGACATAAAAGTTGAAACTTTCAGAATCGACTACCATATAAGAACCCCAAAAGTTGAAAAGTTGAGTTTACAGCCAATAAGTCACAGGAAGGACCTCGATGTCAGGTTGAACTCCGAGCTGCGCAGCCAGCCCCCGGGCCTTGGCCTCGGCTTTCTCCTTGTCACCGAAGTATCCACCGTTCACGAGCTTCTTCGTGATGGGATGACACAACCGCACCCGCCACTTCTCTTTATCTTTTTCAAACCAAACGCCTCTCACAGTTGAGCCGGAGGTCGCTGAGATGGGCTTGGAGGGATTCAAGATGCCTTGCCGCACGAGCTCCTCGCGGTACACCTTTGCTTCCTGCAGTGCCGCCTCGACAGCCGCTTCATCGCCATGGCCCTGCTCGAGGAACTTGGAAATTGGAAATGCGCGAGATCGGCTTTTTCGTTTGATCCCCTGTCTACAGATGGTGAAACGGCAGGTCCAACATGCTCCCACCTCGCTCCAGCTCACGTTCCGAATACCGCTTTGGCGCTCCAGTCTAACAGCTGGCCGGTGGCGGCCGCGGCGAGCCTCTCGAATTTGGGCTCCTGAGCTTGGGACTTCTGAGCTCGATGGGGCCTCTGCATGCTGCAGCATGTTGTTCACTGCTTGCTTGATTTTTCGCCAAGCCTTCCCGGCAGCCGCGCCAGCAATCTCGCCGACCTTGTCCTCAAACTTGTCGATTTTTCCTTGCACGACATCTAGGACATGCTTGACGGCATGGCAATCGAATTGGTTCATCTGCCACACGTGGAGAGCATGCAGCAACAACGACCGCACCCGTCTCTGTAGATCAGTTCTCGGACCCTCCGTTTTCGAAGTTCGGTCTTCGACCGGGCCTTCAGTGTCAGCATCTTGCACTTGCGCCTGCTTGCGAGGAGCTGCAAGGCAAGCTGCAGCGAGGATGACGACATCTCTCAGGTCTGCTTGGCTCAAGCTCCTCCTCGGGCGCCTTGCTACTTCCTCGGCCTCTTGCAATCGCTCCAACTTCTTGGCCTCATCCAGAAAGCTCCACTCATTCATCTTTTTGAAGAGTGTCACGTGCTGATCAGGCGGAGCAAGCAAGCTCAGAGATGCGGACTGGCTCGCTTCACAGGCATGCATATCTTCGTGCAGCTCGACTTTCTGTGTTGCGGTAGCAACGCCATCATCTGTAGCAACCACCACAAGATCTGCCACTGACTTGTTGCATCGACGGCGCAACTTCCGAAGACTCGTTTGTAACTGTCGCTCTGCTTCATTCCAAGCTTCACTGGCCGGTCTTCTAGGGAGAGCCTGGAGTAAAGCTTGCATGTCCAAGAGGACATCTCTCAAACGAGATGGTAGCCGTGAACCATCCATCTTGTCCGTGAGCTGCTTCAAGAGATTCAGCTCTTTCACTTCGGGAACCCGTCCCTTTGGGCCGTAGGCGATCCAGGAGGCCACTGGGGCAGCATGCCTTCGCAGGGCTGCCTGGTCGAAGTGGTCTGCTTTCTGAGAGTACCTGCCGATCCTGAGTTGTCTGTTCAATTGTCAATCTCTTCTGCCTCTTGCTACTGCTGCCACCAGTCATACTATGTTGTCGTGGTTGTCGTTGGTGTCGCGGACATTGGCGTTTGTTGTTGCTTGCTGTTGTTGCCTGCTGTTGTTGCCTGCTGTTGTTGTTGTTGTTGCTGTGGTCGTCGTCGTCGTCGTCGTCGTCGTCTGCTGCTGTGGTTTTGATGGTGTGGCTGCTGTGGTGATGGTATCATTCTCAAGAGCACTGTCTGTCCTAAGGACCTCGCAAGCTGTAATTGCTCATTACTCAAACGGCTTACAACACTGACCCTCCAAAGCAACGCCCAGGAGCACCACCGACTTGTGCGAATGGCGGTGATACTGGCGAGCATGTCTGTGCAACCGGCAGCGTTGTGATCGTGCCATGGCGGCTTCGGCCCCTTGGCCTTTCTGGAGAAATGCAGCGAACTCTGCGACTCCCTAGTTTCACTTAGTGCTGATACCAGCAGCACCTGAAACTAGGTGTGTTCTACATGGACTGCCTACCGGTGTCGGAGCTTCAGGTTCAAGCTTCGGGACAGTTTAGGACTTTTGGTTCAGGGTTTAGGGCTTAGGGGGTTTAGGTCTTAGGGTTTAGGGGAGCCTGACAAATAGCATCACGGTTAGGATGATGAGAAGCAGCCTGCTGTATTTCAGCAGCACCGCTACTACCGATAAAGAGCTTGATACAATTGAGTCCTGGGAAGCTTTGTATGTCCAATCAGTCATGGGAGCATAAGAAGGCGTCATCCAAACTTCTGAACCCTATGCATACTGCATTCCATTAATGCACTGGGCACCCAAGCCCCTTTTCCTACCCTTCAGGATCCAAAGTACCTGGCAGCTGAACTGTAGGTTAGTCGTTTGGGGAGCACTTGTATGATTCCAAGGTACCTTTAGGTTTTAGACTGAAACCTGCAAAAAGTCTTCAAACAGGTGTATACCGGCACCCTAAACTCTGAACCCTAAATCCGTCGGCAGCCACCGACCCGGACCCCAAAGCGTGAAAACCCTGCTACACACTTGGGGTCTAGGGTTTAGGGTTTACACATGCCTGAGCCCCACTGAAGCCCTTAACGCCTTATTCAAAACTGTACGTAGCTTGTGAAGAACAATAAAACCACAAAGCCCCATGAACCCTAAACCCTAATCCCTGAGCCCTAGAGTCTAAACCCTCAGCCCTAAGCCCTGAACCATACACCCTAAGCCACAAATCTCGACTGGGCGAGGGGCATGTGTTTTGCATCGCTCGAAGCGCAGGACTGCGAGACATGGAGACTAGAATTGATGGCTTAGCCCTAAACCCTAAACCCTAAACCCTAAACCCTAAACCCTAAACCCCAAAGGTTTCGGCTCCCTTCCCAACCGCGTTTGCGGTTCAGGCTGGTCGTGTTTAGGGCTTAGGCATTATGGCTGTGGATGTAAGTCTCAGGGCTCAGGTCGGACTTAGGAAACCCTAAACCCTAAACCCTAAACCCGAAGCCCCTAAGCCCTAAAACCCCTAGACCCCTAAACTCTAAACCCTAAACCCCAAAGCCCTAAAACCTCTAAACCCCTAAACCCTAAACCCTAAACCCTAAACCCCAAAGCCTTAAAACCCCTAAACCCTAAACCTGAGAGTCAAACTGGTTCGGGTCGAGAAGGTGTGAGCTTGGAAGGATGTGCCGGTTGCTGAACCCTTCGAAACTACCGGGATCCCATTGCCACTTTGGGGGGTTTAGAGGTTTAGGGGTTAGGGGTTTAGGGGTTTAGGTTTAGGGGTTCAGGGTTTAGGGTTTAGGGGATTAGGGGTTTAGGGGTTTAGGGGTTTGGGGTTGACGGGTTTACGGATTTAGGGTGGGAGTTAGGGGTTCGGGGAGTTTAGGGGGTTTAGGGCCACTTTGCCCAGGCACCTGGCCCTTGAAAGCAAGATGTAGCAAGATAAAAACATACCTAGTTCCAACTTGTCTCCGTAGCCCTTAACCCTAAAGCCTAAACCCTAAACCCTAAACCTGAAACTTAAAGCATTGGAATGAAGGGCTGCTCGTGGTTTCACAAAGCTACAAGTTTAAAGGCCAATGCCATAAACCCTCAACTCTGACACCCCAAAACCCTAGAAATATTGGATTCCTATAGAAAAACCCAATGGATTCCTTATTTCAATACTATTTTAATATTATTCTAATATGATTTTCATTCAATTAGATACAGTGGGCCCTAGATCCTGCTAGAAAACCAAGGCCTCAACCTACGTCTTGTGGGATTTGCGCAGAACCTATATAGGGGCGTTAGTAATTAGAATAGGGCTTTGGGCCCCTTCATAATATACTTATAAAAAGGAAGCCCCCCCAAACATAGTATTGGCTTTGGGATTTGGATCCTTAAACTTGAAGGTTTGCGGAGTTTATGGTCTGGGTTTAGAACTTGAGATTTCAGGTCTTAGGGTGCAGGGTCCTTTTAATTCAAGGTTTGGGGTCTTACGACCTAAGTTCAGGCTTGGTGTTGCTAGGTTGGGGTTCGAAGACCTGCAATCCTAACTCGAAGTCTCAACCCTCCTCAGAGCCACGACCACGCGCTACTTTAAATGTGGCCTCGACTCGGACAGGGCTGAAGCGGCCCCGCTGAAGCATCTGCTACGTCTCATCTGCGGCAATCGTTTGTGCCATCCACCGCTTCTGGCTGGGAACCACTTCGCTGCGTGCTTGAGGCCTTTGCATTTCCTGTCTAGAAGGTAGTTATCAAAATTATGGTCCCTTTTGGGGTCCCCTAAATAATAGGTGCCGTAGTATAATAAGGACCCAAATAGGGACCATAATTTCGACAACCACCCACATAGTTCGCCAGAGCATCAGGCCAAACGGAGGCGTCCCTGCCGCTCGAGGTGCCTGCTTGTTTATAAGAAGGAACAGTACGAAGGAACCATCAACAGGTAAAGTGAACCCCAACAAGTTGGAACATAGATTAAGGATGATTTGTGATGGGATTCCCTGTACTTTGCCTGAAGAGGATAAAGATAATGCTGTTTCCAATTTCTGGCTTCTACTGTTAACCCTAAACCCTACACCCAAACCCCCAAACCTTAAAGCATCAAGGACCTGGTAAGCCGAGTTTCACGTCACTAGGATTACACGGTTGAAGGTTTACGGGTTACGTACGAGGCCCCCCGATCCTTGAACAAATAATATAATATGCGGGCCTTATAATAATTAAGATTAGGGTTGTGGGCTGCTGTATCATATATATATATATAAGGAACAATCTTGGCAATCATTTAACCTTCTATACCGAGTTCTTGTTAAGGAATTTAATTTCGGTTACCACCATAGAGAAACCCAAACATTTACCATGGGTCCCTATTATGGTAGCCTAAATATAAATCCCTTAACAAGAACCCAGTATTACCCCTAAACCCGAAGGAACCATATTGGTAACTATTTTAACATATTCGGATCCAGGTCTCAGGACCCTACTAAAGCCTACCTAAAGCCCGAATATCCTATCTTTTCAAGTGTTATGTAAGGAAGTCAGAACAATCAGAAACCATGACAAGAGAGGTGCATAAGGGTCCAAGTAAACCCTGAAGGGAACCCTAAACCCTCGGGAATACATATTGGTAACTAAATTAAACCCTAAACCCTAAACCTTACACCCTGGTTCAAGGGCCCCTAAACCCTAAACCCTAAACCCTGGTTTAAGGAACCCTAAGCTCCTCAACCCTAGACCCTACACCCTGGCTTAAGGAACCCTAAACCCTAAACCCTGGTTTAAGGACCCTGGGAGCCTCCCGGCAAGAGTGCATGGCCCACTGCGGAATGCCGACGTCGATGGTTCGGACCTGTGGAGCCACGGTTTAGAGTTTAAGGTTTAGGGTTTGGGGATTCTTTAAGGTTTGGGGTTCTCTAAATTAGGGTCTCTTTTTGGGGTGCTTCTCAGGGCAGGGATCTGTAAGGGTTTCTACAAGGGTTCTAGAAGGGTAGTTCTCCAAATTAAGGTCCCTTTTAGGGCCCTGCTGAAAAAGGTGCCGTACTATGTTGGGGACCTACAAACGGACCCTAATTTAGAGAACTACCCTTGCGGTTTTGGGGACTTTTCGGGTTTGGGGGGTTTGGGGTTTCAGGTCTGGGATAAAGGATTTGGGCTGTAGGTTTTGGGGCTTGGTGTTCGGGATTCAGGGTTTGGGGCTCAGGTTTCGGGGCTTGGGGTTTGGGGGTTAAGGTTTGAGGTTTACCTGGACCCCCCATCTATCCCTTAAAGGGAACTCTTCTTCCTCATTAAGAGCCATTTTTTGGGGGTTGCAATAAACGGTAGTCGAGTTGGGGTTTCGGTCTTAGGGCTTGGGGTTTGGGATTTAGGGTTTGGGGTTTAGGCTGTGGGATTTGAGGTTTGGGGTTCAGGATTTAGGGATTTGGGGTTGGTATTGGCGATAAAAAATCTGGCATTGAAAAGTTGTACTTCATTTGGTGATTTGCAGAGTAGCACAGTGCACAGGTGGGGCACAGTTTTTCGAGCGTCTAGAGTATCCATATAAACGTCCGCAGAATATGGTACCTAAACCGCACATGCTTAGCACCCTTAACCGAAATAACCAACCAAACACACACTTGAACACCCAGGCTTCT